TAAAAAAAGAAATAAATAATTAAAATGAATTAAAATGAATTAAAATGGATTAAAATGAATTAAAATGAACTAAAATGAATCTAAATTGATTAAAAAGGAAGTAAAATCAAACAAAATGAATCAAAATTAATTAAAAATGAATCTAAATTGAATTAAATAAATCTAAAATGGTAAAAAATAGATCAAAAAATTGAATTAAAATTGAATTAAAATTGAATTAAAATAATTCTAAAATAATTAAAAGTGAATTAAAAATGAATTAAAAACAAATAAACAAATCCAAATTAGTTAAAAATGAATTAAAATTATTTAAAAATCAATTTAAATGAATCAGAAATAACAAATAAAAACGAAACCAATTAAAACAAATCGAAATTAATTAAAATAAAATTAATTAAAATTAGTCAAATCAAATTAAATAAATTAAAATAAATAAAAATAATTTAAGGCAAATAAAAACAAATTTTAAACAAATAAAATAATTTGAATAAATGAAATACCATAAAAGGAATTATTGATAAATAAAAATAGTAATAAATGAATTTAAAATAATTAAAAATAATTATAAATTAATAAATGAATAAATAACCAAATAATAAATATCAACAAATAAGTAATTACAAATAATGAATAAACAAACAAACAAATGAATAAATAAATAGATAATAAATAAATAAATAAATAAATAGAACAAACAGATAAATAAACAAATAAATAAATGAAACAAATAAATAAAATAATGAATAAATAGATAAATAAATAAACAAGTAAATAAATAAATAAATAAATAAATAAATAAATAAATAAATAAATAAATAAGTAAATAAATAAATAAAATTAATTAAAATAAATAAATAAATAAAATTAATTAAAATAAAGTTCTCACTTGATGTCCTCCAGCAGCACAAAGCCCGAAAAGTCTGTTGCAGCAACAGGCCTGTATTTGCAGCTGCTGCTGCTGCTGCTGCTGCTGCTGCTGCTGCTGCTGCTGCTGCTGCTGCTGCAGTTAAGTCTCATATAAATCTTCTGGGCCTCCAGCACGCGGCAAGGGCTGTACATGTAAATCTGAAAACAACAGAAACATGCTGCTGCTGCTGCTGCTGCTGCAGCTGCTGCTGCTGCAGCAGCAGCTGCTGCTGCAGCAGCTGCTGCTGCTGCAGCAGCTGCTGCTGCTGGTGGTGCTGCTGGTGCTGTTGCTGCTGCTTGTGCTGCTGGCGCTGCTGTTGCTGCTGCTGCTGTTGGTGCGGCTGCTGCTGCAGCTGCTGCTGCTGGTGCAGCTGCTGCTGCTGCTGCTGTTGGTGCTTCTGAGGTGAGTTGTTGAGGGCTGTGGTGGTGGCTCTAAACTCTAAACCCTAAACCCTAAACCCTAAACCCTAAACCCTAATTTCTTACTGGGGAGTCGCCTTGCTCTTTATTCTTTTCTGTCTTTTGCGTCGCCGCAGGTGCATTTTCTCTGAAAAACAAAAAGTAAAAGATAAAAATGCTGCTGTTGCTGCTGCTGCTGCTGCTGCTGTTGCTGCTGCTGCTGCTGCTGTTGCTGCTGCTGCTGCTGTTGCTGCTGCTGCTTACTTTTTTGCTTCCTCAGGCTTGGCGCCGTCAACAGCCATTTCGTTCCTTCAACATAACACCCAGCAGCAAACCCTAAACCCTAAACCCTAAACCCTAAACCCTAAACCCTAAACCCTAAGCCCTCAGCCTTAAGCCCTCCGCCGAGTTATGTGAGGCCTCACTCTTCTGCTGCTCCTTTTGCTGCTGCAGACAAACAAGCAGCAGCAGCATTATAATTCATTTAAAATAAATAAAATAAATAATTTATTTATTTATTTTAAAATAAATAAATAACTTATTTATTTTAAAATAAATAAATAAAATTATTTTTGTTTTAAATTTGTTTAAAACAAACACACAATTTCAATCCCAGCGGCGCCTCTTCGCCGCCCACCCTAAACCCTAAACCCTAAACCCTAAACCCTAAACCCTAAACCCTAAACCCTGGGCGGGAAGCAGCGCACGCTGAGGGATGCGCAGCAGGCCACAAGCAGCGAACGGGAAGGTCGAAAGCCTCAAACGCTCAAAACCGAACCCTAAACCCTAAACCCTAGTTTAGGGTTTAGGGCTTGCGACCCTAAACCCTAACAGTACGCAATAAATAACACACAGTAGAAAATGACTCATAAACCCCAAAGCCTGAACAATAAACCCTCAATAATCAACAATAAACATTAAACCCTAAACCCTAAACCCTAAACCCTAGAACCTATATCCTGAAGCCTAAACCCTGAACCCTAAATTAGGGTTTGGCAGCCCTGCAGAAAAGCGCGCAGCTGCTTCGTCGCACAAAGCCACCCCAGGCCACATAGGAGGGCTCAGAAGCATATTAGGGTTTAGGGTTTAGGGTTTAGGGTTTAGGGTTTATGCACTCCTGCGTCCAGCAAACCCGCGGAAACAAGAGCCCCAAACCTCGCCAGAGGGTCTCAAAGCTCATTGGGGTTTGCGGCCA